GATAAAGTCAAAATTTGCCGACGGAGTCTAAACAAGAGTTGTAGAGAATAATCTCACCTATGCGTGGATATAAAGAACGTAAAAAACGAAGTTCGTACCCGAAAGTGACGAATTTTACAAGTTTTCGGCACAAAATCTGAGGCTATCAAGCCCACCACGGCGTGGTAAAGTGGCCACGATGTGCTAATGTGATTGATGGGTGCCAGGTGCGTCAGCAAATGTCCCCTCAACGGAAGAGGATAGAATCCCTCATCATGACGTGGTGAGTTTTACCACGACGTGGTGACCAGATTTGGGCTATAAATAGCAGCCGAAGGTGTTGGGTTCCAGTGCTCATTTCTTCTCTCTCTCTTTGTCTCTCTCTCTCTCTCTCTCTCTCTCTCTCTCTCGTGCCGAAGCTCTGCGTTTAAACCCCTGAAGCCCCGGTCTTCATATCCAAGTTCCAAATGAAGGTTTTTCACTCCCGAGATTCCCGAGAATCCCGAGAAATTCAACTTTCCCTAGTCGAAGTTCTGCTCAGTTTTCATTTCACTTTCTTCTGCCTATCAAGTGAGTTCATACCCCTACAACTACGTTTTCAAATGCTTTATAAATGCTTTTATACACTTTAAATTTAGGGGGGTGGGGGGGGGGGCGAGTACAAGTAAACACACGGTTACTCTCGTGTGGAAAACATTAAGCTTTTACTACACTTATCTTTATATGAGAAATCATACGTGATTCATAACTATCATATGAAAACGTTCGCATGCAACACTTATTCAATAACATTTTGTCCTTCAAGAGTAAAAACATGTTATTATACAAATATCAAACACTTTATTTATATATTGGTGTATAAGGTTCAATAATGTTATTACAAATGTAATACTTACATACCAAGCTGATATTGCACTAGGGTTTATGATACAAAGGAATCATACATTTGAAAAAAACTATAATATACATTTGAAAAAAACTATAATAGGTATAATTTACTAGATATTGAAGAGATTTTACATACTATGAGTACTATATTAGAGAAATACTTTCAAATACAAGAACAAATGAACTTTTCATACGTAAATCTATTTGATACTAAATTTTGTGAGACATTCAACTTCACGTACTTTCAAGTATGCAGCTAAAGTCATGTATTATATATCATAATCTCTTGTAGGGAGAGCATGATACTTGTGTATAGATCTATACGGTATTGACAATCCCACACCTAAAATGTTAGCTGCAATTACATCGGAAGGTCTGGGGTGACAAACGTCATAACATTCCAATGCCTGAAGAACGTTGTTACAGGCAGTCAGGGTCAATAGTATGGTTATAAAACTCAAATGGAGTATTAAAAACACGTTGATTTACGGGGTTATCAAATGCTTTAGCGACTCTTTTACTTGCATAAATCTACTATACTATAAATGAAAAAACACTAATGCGTAATAGTTTATGGAACTTTATAACTACCTTACACTTATGGAAAAATATTGGAATTTGAGAAACAACATACGAAACAGTCGGGTCTTAGTAGAAGACTACTTTTATACTAGTAAGAAATATTGGATTTTCTAAGAGTTTTCAAACATCTACAAACAAATTCATTTAAATTAATACAAACATTGACATTAAATACTTATGAACTCACCAGCTTAAATGCTAATCTACTCTTTCAAATCTACTTGTATTTCTCAAGGATTCAGTAATACATGTAAAATTCAGATTTTGGAGAACTGATGCTATGGCATCGGTTTTAAACTCATTTTGACATAATATTGTCATTTGTTTTTGAAACAAGTATCATTTTACAATGTAACTCTTAAATTATATATATGATGGTTGTGTTTACTTTCTTTACTACGTATTCAACTCTTACGATACTACATGAAGTCATCCACCCTCGAACGATTCCGTCGTTCTAGTTTGGGGTTGTGACAACACATGGGAAGAATTCAAGAGTAAACTTAAGAGACAATTCTACCCACATAATGCTGAGGACATATCGATGAAGAAACTTTGTGGGCTAAAGCATACTGGATCCATCAGAGACTATATATTCGAGTTCATGAGCTTGATGCTAGAGTTACCCGATATGCAAGAGAAGGACAAACCTTTCTATTTCATGGATGGACTACAATCGTGGGCATACAACGAGCTCAAGAGGATAAATGTCAAAGACATCGACGAAGTTATTGCCATGGCAAAAGATCTAATGGAATTTCCAAAAGAAAACACTGTTAAGAAGAATAGTGGGGAGAACAAACTATGTCAGAACCGGAACCAAAAGAAAACATACCCCAACCTTTGAGTACGAAAGGAAAATCAGTCGAAAGAAGAAACCAAATAGATAACGGAAGGAGATCAAGTGCTACTTGTGTGATGGTCCTCACTTGATCCGCGACTGTCCAAAGAAAAAGACATTTTATGCGATGGTGTTACACGAAGATGAAGAAGAAAAAGATGCTCACATGACTCCCCTGTGACTTCTGAACTCTATGACAAAACACGAGACAAGGGAATCGAAAGGGAGTGGTTCTAAGGTAGGAAGACTCATGCTAGTCGAAGCCAAGTTGAATGGAGGAATTACTAAAAAGATAATAGATTCAGGTGCGACTCACAACTTCCTTTCTGAAAATGAAGCAAAGAGATTGGGAGTCCACTACGTGAAAGAAGAAGGCCAGTTGAAGGTTGTCAATTCTCCCTCTAATCCTATCTTGGGAGTTTCACGGGGAGTACCCATGAAAATTGTGGAATGGGAAGGGAACATTGACCTTGTAGTTGTACCGATGGATGACTATAACATGGTATTAGGAATGGAATTCCTAGACGGAGTATGTCCATGGTCATTTGAAAGTGATAATACGATGCGTATTACTAAAGGTAAAATCATTCACATCGTACCAATAGAAAGGAGTAGAACAAGATCTCGAACGCTATCATCAATGAAGTTTAACAAAGACCTTAGGGAAGTTGGGAAGATTTGGGAAAACCCTAAGTTGGAAGAAGTAAGATGATTCACAAGCAACCAGTGTTCGAACCAGAAAGTATGCGAAACCAAACCACATAGTCCGAGGTGGCAACACATATTGGTGCAAGACGGAGTCACAATCATCCTTAAGAATTCCTCCGATGTATCATGAGGCTACAAGAAGACCCAAAACAAGATAGGAAGTAAGAAGACAAGTGACACATGCTAAAAGACTTGACAAGGACGTCAAGGGATTAATTGGGGGAGGGTGACACGGACCGAGTTTCTGGAAAATTCTAAGTTCCTCTAGAGAACTCCTGAATGATAAGGTATCCTTGAGAAGTCTCCAGAGAGATCAAGAATACTCTATGAGACCCTGGTAGATGCTAGAATATTATAGATGACAATGGAACAAAGGAGAACGATCCGAAATAATCAAGAAGGCATTAGACGAAACTAGAACGACCCGGAAGACATTGTAACGATCTAGAACACGCTAGATCATACAATAACGATTTTGATAATGTTGGGACGACCTAGATATTTCTAGAGCATCGTAGATAAGTATACCATATTCTAGAGTCTTGTAAAATCCATGTATATAATAGGAAGTGTCTAGATTAGTTAAGAATGATCAGAACCTAGAAACTTCCTTTTGAGGAGGTGTAAAATGCCTATAAATAGGGGGAGGACTCATTTGTCCAAACCATCGAGGAGTTGCCTTGTAAAGAAGTTGAGTTATATAATAGAAGCTTTCTTGAAGTGTTCCTTGTTATAACTCTTGCTTCCTATGTTCGGTAATACATCTAGATCGTCGAAGTTAGCCTGACTTAGTTGCAGAAGCACTAAGTGGCACACGGTATTGACTAGTCTAAAAGAGTCATCCTGTGACACATAGCTTTTGATGCAATGAATTAACATGATAATGTTTATTTTTAATTGTGTTTATGAATTGCAATATCAAAAATGAAAATTTTGGTCTAGAATTTTGGGATGTTACAATTTTTTTTTTTATTTAAAATGTTATACAAGATCTTTGTATTTCCTACCTATAATAGTGGCCTACACTTATGCTAATCATGTATCACTACTATTATCAAAATGGTTGCAATAAATGAGATATATTTGTATTGGCGTCGACTTAAAAGTTACAGGATGGACCAATGGGCCTATGACTGACCGACATAAAGAAAGAAAACTTATTCTCCAAGATTGTATAGACAATAACAAAGCTTATGAGAAGAGATGCTTTGTTTCCACTTCGGTTTACAAAATAAAGACCTTGCTTCAGTACTTCTGAATGTGACTATACATCTTTGGTATTCTCTTCGTTTGGATATCTCTAACCTTCGCTGAGACCAACCTTTTACTTTACTGTAGGGCGAAGCTGATGCTGCGCTATAGGACAAAGCCTTGAATGGGCTTTTTAGAATTTTTGGCTATTAAGAATTAACTCAAATCTCAATAATTAGTGTTCACAATTGATAGTGTCATATTCTGAAAGTAAAAATGATTTAACTCAAAACTTAGAAGAAAATTCTTTTAATAATAATGAAGAACTTAGTTTATCTATCAAGCTCTACATGATCAGGAGACATCATCAATATATGAAATTGTTGAAATATATCCAAAATTTTGGAAGGTAAGATGTAAGTTATGTTCACAAAGTTGTTGTAGGTGGCAATTGGCTACATGTAAACATCAATCTAGCAAAATAATATTTAAGGTGGTTTCTCCTAAAAGAAAAATATACTAGTTGATGTGGTAGCTGGCATATACAATCAAATGGTTTGCTTATAATTAAACAAATAAAAACCTATTTTGTATGAGATATAAAATGATTACACTATGCCAAAATTTTAATACTATTTTGAATTAAATGTAAAATTTCTTAAATACAAAGAAAATCTAGAAATATTATGAAAGGCAAAGTTGAAAGCTATTTTGTATTGAAATAAAAAAAGAAAATCATACGCCAATTGATATTTTTATATGAAATATAAGTTTTCAGAAAATAATTAAGAAAAATATTTAACTACACTAACAAGAAAATCACTGTATTTGGAAATTAAATTAAAACATTCGTAGACATCATAAAATATTTAAGCTCAAATTTGGACTTTAAAATAAAGATTAATTTTCAGCTAAGATCACAAAAAGAATTTCATTTGAACTGGATTAGAGATATCATTAAGGTATCACAAAACATCAAACAAAACATTATTATAATATAAAATATCATGGTGTAGACTCATTCCATGTTAACTCCAAATAAGTTGGGCAAACAACATTTATTATACATACTTAAAATCATAAATTAAACTTTCGTAAACTCTAGAATCTAGATGCATTACGAGTTCTAACGAAAGACTCGACCAACTCTTGCTCTATGTATAACCAGAACCATCGATCTCTGCCTGAGTAGCTTCAACAATTTAATTGATTCTGCAAATATATACAAATATTTTATTAGTCTAACTAACTTCAAGAATATTTCTAGTAATCCAATGACATTACTGCTCAAAGCGACTACATGAAAGATTAACATCGATCTAATAAAGCGCCTTATGCATGCAGGTGAATCATAATCAATGATGCAACCGAGACACATTATGTGCTCTTTGGTAAGAGAGTATAGTAATTTACTTTGTGCAGTCAACGCTTGATGATATAGTGAATCCCAAACTAATGCCGCAGTTTCCCGGAAGAGATTTAGCTAGCCCTGGATTTGGGTTTAGGCTTTGGGAAGCCGACTTGAGGCATTTACAAGCCGCTTGTCTGTCAGCAGTAGTGCTTGCAGTTGTCGCAAGAGCCTTAGCACCCGAGCAACAAGCAGGTGGAGGCATCCCACTCCCACTCCTGAGGTAACTCACACAAGGTGCTAGATCCTGGATGACTGTGCTGCAAGTAATCACAGCATCGGAGGAAGATATGAATAGCAGAAAGATTGACCCAATCATGATTGAAATCAATGGGGCAACTTTTGTTGAAGCTTTCATGGTGTTGATTGAAGGTAAGCGAGGAGATTTGCTGAAACTTAAAGCATGTGAAGTGAGTGATTTTTGGTTATCTTTATAGGAGAAATTGAGGGCACTAGTGAAAAATAATTATTTTACGTGAGTGATTGAGTGCAAGTAATATGCAAATGTTTTTCGAAACTTTTGGGTTTTTTATTTGTGCTTAGAAAGTCAAACAGATTTATAGTTAAATAATAAAAAACTAATGAAGAACAAGTTAGTTTGTCGATCATGGAAATGTTGTCCATAAGTACATATGTAAAAGTCCATGTATGCATGCATGTATACTGTCATAATAAACATTGAGTTCCCTAAGAATTAAATGGATTCCCACATGTAAGCATGGAACAAGAACCAATACCGAACCGGCAATTCGGGAACCAGGAACGATATGACCGGTAATGTCAATCAGGCCCGTTCGTGCCACGTGTGTCACCGCACAGGTGCGAAAAAAAAAAGATAATTAATGGATCAGCTGGTAATAGGTGGGATTTTACACTCCTTTCTAGTTTACCGACGATCGAGACTAGTTTCCTAAATTCTTTGTTTTATTATTTTTCCTTTGGTCGGCAATTAACGAGTGACACAAGTCACAGACGCATCTCTGGGTTTGTTGATAAACACGCATCTTCGGTTTATTGTTTCTTTTATTCTTTGAAGTTAATTTCAAAAAATTTGGGTTTACCAACGGTCGAGCCTAGCTTCCTAAACCGTTTGTTTTATTACTTTTCACTTAGTCGTCAATTAATGAGTGACGCAGTCACAGACGCATCTGTTTTTGTTGATAAACATGCATCTTTGGTTTTTTGTTTCTTTTGCTCTTTGAACTCAATTTAAAAATCATATGCTATTCTATGAAGTTAATTTAAGAATCTTGGCCGGGTTAATTGTTAGGGCTGTGGACCGGTCACCACCAACCCATCGGAAAAGTAGTGTAACCACTGTGCCACGTCACCATTATCACCAACCCATTAAAGACACCAAATGTTACCACTAATAATATGTTTTTTTTAATATTATATTAAATAAAAAAACATCATTTATACCATAAATAAATATATATATCTATTTTTATTTTTTGTAACATTTTATTAAATATAAAACATAATTTATAACGTAAATAAATATTTTATTTTATTTATTTTTTGTTACATTATACTAAATAAAAAATATAATTTATAACATAAATAAATTTTTTGAAATCACAAAAAAAAAAAAAAAAAAAAAAAAAATCAAATTTCATTAATTAAAAACATAAGAATTTAAAACCTAAATTACAAAGATAAACATAAAACATAACAGATAAAACATTACGCTACTTAATTAAAAAACATAAAAACTTAAAACACAAAAACACTAGACAAATACTACTTATCCTCATCATCATCCTCATCGCCCTCAACCGCCTCGTTGTCATCATTTGCATCCTCATCGCCTTCATCGTCATCCTCTTCGTCTTCATCGTCATTTTCCCCTTGGGATTGTCTTCCCCATATGTGCTCGGTCAAATTATGACATATATTGTGATGTGTTTCACAATTTTGTATTTCCAAAACTCTAGAGAAGTATGCCGGGATGCCAACTTGTATTACTGCAGGAGGATTAAGTGTATCGTTCCCGGTATATGAACAAATAGCCCTGCCCTCTTTTCCTATTATCATGTTATGTAAAATAACACAAGCAGTCAACACCGTCGTCAGTTTTGCCCTATCCCATGTTGAGCTGGAGGTTTGATGATTTGCTACTTTTCTTTTAGAATGCAAAACGCTCGTTCCACATCCTTCCGTTTATACTCTTATGCTAACTTGAACAATTTTTTTCATCGGCTGGAAATGAAAATGATTTGACAAAAGTAGCATACTCTGGATCATCAGCTAGGTAATACTCATATTTATATTCATTTCCATTCAAAACGTATGACATATCTAGTGCTTTACCGTGCAAACTATTGTTAAATAATGGAGACGTTTGAAGCACATTAAGGTCATTGTTGGATCCTATCATACCAAATAATACATGCCAAAACCATAAGTCTTGTGATAAAACCGCCTCTAATATAACAGTCGGGACCCTATGATCACCTCGAGTGAATTTACCGTGCCATACATTAGGACAATTTGCCCACTCCTAATGTGTACAATCAATACTACCAAACATCCATGGAAAACCATATTTAGCTTGATGTGTGGCATACAACCGTTCGACATCACTTTTAGTCGGATGTCGCAAGTATATGTCACTGTAAAGCTCTATAACATACTCAAAGAAATGATATATCCATTCTCGACCCATCCTTTCAAACATTTTCGAATACTCATTTGAAGCGTCTGCGGTTATGCCATATGTCAATTGTTTAAGAGCGGTCATATATTTTTGTATTGTGGTAAAACCACATTTACCTCTAGCATCCCATCGTAATTGGAAAAACTCATAATTATGTTCCAAATTTGTAGCTATATGTAAAACTAAATTTCTACTAATACGAAAATTTTCTTCGAATTTCGATAGGTCATAAAGACTATCAAGGGAAAAATAATCATGTACCAAAAGTTCATTTGCTGACTCTCGATCCCGGTTGATCCATTTTCTATGTTTCTTATCGTGGTGTGAAGTTTCGCCTCTCTCACGAACCACGTCTTGTGCCCCAGATAATAGTGTGTGCAACACCAAATCGTCATCATAACCGCTATCCATTTTTTGTTGAATTTGTGTGTTTGATTTGAAAGAGTTTGTATTTTTGTTTTAAAAAATTTATCTAAAAATGGATGCATATATTGAGAGAACTGAAATTAAAGAATTTTTTTTTTATTTAATGCCCACCGGTCGAAATTAAAGGTAACCAATAACATTACGCGTCTTCGTTTGTCTTGGGATCCACGCCACCACCAACCCACCGAAGTCGGGGGCAGTGTTCACGCGTAGAAAGAGGCTCCACGTAAGCAAGTCACGGTTAGAGCTCCCTCCACTCCGAGCAGCCTAAACTTGTGATTCTTTGTTTTTGAAGTTTTCAAAATTTTTTATATTTGTAGAACAGTAAGTTATTGTATGTCTCGGTGTCTCATTCTTAGAAATATCTTCTTAAACCGGAGGGTGTCGGTGGGAAACTCCTCTCACTTTTTGTGGACCACAACACCATTTTCCTCATTTTTTTCTTTCCCTCACCAAAACCCAAGGAGTGTGCTGGAAACTCCCCTCACTTTGTTTTGATTTTTTTAAAATAAAATTAACTAATTTTAATGATAATTGGAATATAAAAGTATAGTGTTTTTTTAGTAATTTTTGAAAACTATTTTTGTGAAGAGAATTCAGAGTTGGGGTGTATTTTGTCATAAGACCAAAACATAGAGGCCAAATATGCCATTTCCATAAACTTCTTCCTTCTTCATCGATGAACCTGCAAACTCAAAAAAAAAAAAAAAAAGTTCTAGCCAATCACAAGAAGAGAGAGAGAGTGTGGGAACCCCTTCCCCGCCTCCTCCCCGTGCCTCCTATCCTGCGTTGCCGGTACGGTGTTCCTCCGAGTGAGAATAGCTCTCGCATACCTTTCCCCCTTCACTCCGTCCAGCCTTAAACACTGTATTAAAGTATAGCTATTGGATGTTTTATAAAAGTTGTATTATACTTATATTATGTTTGAATATTTTACTATGCAATGTTGTTATTGAAAATGTATTACCATAGCATCAAACATTTGTGTGTGATTGAGTCAGTAAAAGAACAATGGTGATCATGCATCATAAAAACAAATTGCATAGTCCTAAGAAAGTGTCGACTGAACGTAGATGTCCGTATGGGGAACAATTACGGGGATTTTCGTGGATAAGTTAGTCTGTGGTAAAGGTCAGTGTCTTGAGTCACTTATATGACTATCCCATTCGGGGTGAATTTTACGGGGCCTTTTTTGATATATTCTGACAATGGTCACAACTATGAATCACTTATTTGACCATCCCAATCTTGGGTAACCCTTATGGATACTAGACTTGACATGTAGTTGATCCTCGGGAATGCCTGTGAGGAATCACATTTGGTTAGGTCATGCATAACATGCTTTGCATTCTATTTATTAATGCATGTCAAGTTATAGTTTTATCAAATGACTTTAATATTGATTTTGTGTCTAAATGTAACTCACCATATAATTTTTATCTTACATATTTTGTTTGGAATGTCATGTATTTCAGGTTTTGAGATACATCTTAGAGTGTTGATGAGATAGATAAAAGAGAATCAATGCATAGAAATTGATCATAGCTTCCATGTGGTAAGCAACCTTGCAGGTACTATGGCTTATTTGTATTAGTTGTAATAGCTGAAATAATATTTTTACAAATGTACTTGCAAATGAAATGATAAAATGGGACCAATCGACCAAAATATTTTATAAAACATAGTATAAAAGGCCAGTTCCCAACCATTTCCATTAGATGATCAATGGCAAAGAACTTGTAGCACGTAATAACAACTTTCATAATAATACAAGAACTATTACCAAATAACATTATATTCGGTCGCGGTGTGATGAGAAGTTTTAAAGTGGCCGCCTACATTATACATGGGTTTTTAAATTGCAAACACAATTATACAATGGAATGATTATTAGTGAACCACTTCTTATATTGTTGGTAAAGCTTATGGTAGAAACAAGACATAACTTGAATAAGAACAAGAAGTGAAACAGAAAGATTCATATACCAATATCATCAACCCTGCCTACCCGACTCAAGGAATTTGGATAGCTTCCACCTTACCTGCAACTTTGCCGGATCGTCTTACCAACCTCTTAGTAAAACACAAAGATAACATTGCATGTTAATAGTCAGATATCCACAAACAAACACATCGGAAGCAACATAAAATTAACCCCATAAACCAAAAGACTAATCCTTGTTCTATAGCAAATAAAACATTAGGAAAAATCAAGAAAAAAATATACACTTGTATTTCTTTAAATCCTTGAAGAGCTTTAGGTGGAGAGAGTTCGAAGAGCCTTAAATAAAGC